CCAGCCAGGGTCAACCCACCACAAAAATAAATAAAGCGTTTGATACAGAGAAGTTACTGAATAATTCTGTTTAAAATCTTTTAAAAGATAAATTAAAAAACCCTCAACATTATTGTTGGAAATTTTTCAGCAACATCATGTTGCAGGTGAAAAGTACAAGAAATCAAAGGATATTAAAGAACTTATCATAGTATAATTTTAAACTGTTTACCCACTATACAAAGTACCGTTCTGAACTTGAAATCCTCATTGAAGGTGTCAAATGAAAATTCAAACTATACTGTAATCTAATTTCAAGTTACCAAAGTATCTGATAAAAGAAATCCTGACTTTCCAATTTAATTTAAATAACCCACAGTACTATTTTTCCTATGTCAGCCTACAGATATAAGCAGTGAAGTACCAGTGAAGTTCATTAGAAAAACAAATAAGAAATGAGGAAACTGTTCAAAAGCAGGCAAGCAGTAAAATAAAACAAAACAAAACAAAAAACCACACAAAGAGCCTGGTAGCATTAACCACTGAAAGTATGATAAAAGAAGCTTTGACTCAGAAGGTAGAAGGCTCCAATAATTTATGCAATGGGAAATAGCTAAATCTTGCTTACAAAAGAGATTGGTATTACTACTAGCTATGTTAATGCTGCAGTGATTCCATACCTTGGAAGACCGAAAACAGAATGCTGTAGATTTTATATCCGCTTTCTCTTTTTCTGTAAGAAGAAGACTCTTGTCATCCAGCAGACTTAAATATTTTCCTGTTGTTATATGTCTTAGTCTGAATGGCTGTCCCCATCTAATGTGGCTGCCACTCCACCTAAGAAAATTCATAGGAAACATTTGGGTTTTTTTAAAACACAACATAGAGCTTTTGGGAAAAACTCTACTAGCAAAGATATTTTAAAGTACATTACATTGCTAACTAGATGGTAAAAGGATAAAACTCTAAATGCATGATTATCAGCAACAAAATGGCTACTTTGTGGTTATCTTCTATAAAACCATTCTAATAAATAACCTTAACCTCTTCCTTTGCACAGGCTGCCTTGGTTCAGACTGAATTCCTCTTGAGAGAAGATACAGACTGCCTACAGAAAAGGTTTCCGCTGTACACAAAGAGCTTAGATCTGCCAGTTCCCAGACTCTCCCAGAGCACTCTCCTTTCAGCAGTCAACACAATTTAGGCACACTTTGAAGAGTGTGCAAAAAAAATCAAATAGCTAAATAAATAAATAAATAATCCTCATAAAATAAATTTTAAAAACTATTAAACAAAGACTGGCCCAGATTCTTCATATTCTATATAAGGAAATGAAGGAAGAAAGGGAAAGATTGTCTATCTAAGCACCTCAAGAACTCTTCAAGTTGAAATATAGGTTGCAGGTTTCTAAATTCTTGCCTTAAACTGCAAACTCAGCTTGGCTCTTCAACTCCTGAAAACAAACTTGTGTAGGCGTTACTAAGGAGGCTGCATTTCACGTAGCCTTTTCAGAAGGCTTCCTGGATATTGCTTTTTGAAGAGGCAATCATATATTCATTTTGTGTTTGCAAAATGCCCGTCCTAATGGACTTATGACATACTGATGAGGTTCTGATGTGCTTCCAGAAATACTAGTAATTCTCTATGCTTACTGTGGCTTAAAATAGCTTAAAACTATCAACAAATGTTCACATAATACCAGTTAAATATACAAACAAATCCTTATGAGTTTAACCTGATTATAAACTTATTCCCATATCAGAATTTGGTATTACTGGATCTTCTCACTTGCATTTAAAGTAATTCCAGGTACGGCATTTAAAAACAAAAAGGTTTTATGCTTATGTTTTGTATATATCCATGTAGTAGTCAAAGTCCCTTAAGTTAGCACTTACACATGTTTAATACATACATGTAGCAGATTAAAGCACTTACCCAGTCAATACAAATATCCATTTGTTTTTAGCATGTTTTCATAAGAGTTGGCCAGACAGTATGCAAAGCATGCAAAACTGATTTGGCAGACATTTTTAAAGTGCAGGACTTTTTAAAATGCAAGAGCGATACCTGGCTTCTGTTTTGTAATAGAATTTATTACACTTCACTAATTAAACTTCCAACCATTTTTAGTTATTGGTTTTAAAGAGGCCAAAAGAATGAAGAGGTTTTCCACTCAACTATTTTCTTTTGTACACTAAATAGTCTCTTCTGTGTAAGTCAAGGGGAGAGGACTTTGGGGAGAAAGGAAATATGGAAGTTTTATATCTTAGAAATACATTTATTTTTTCCTTTCTTCTACACAGCAAAGTCAGTATACTCCACAAAAGCACATCTAAGTGTCAATGTTCTAGCACAACTTCTGTTTCTCAATTAAGTAAAATGTCAGGCAATGAATCTTGGCTACTGTATTGCTGGGTCCGGTAAAACACATCAGCTCTGCACCTTTCATATTATGGGCCCTGCTGGGGAGCTGCCTTATCTCTAGCCTGATTCAATTTTCTCTTTGGCCCAATAGCTATGGACCATAAGAAAAAGAAAATAATAAACATAGTGCAATTGAGCCATGCCCCTAGTTTGTGCCTGCGGGATGGGAAAAAGGCAATTAATGTGCGCTTACAAGAAAAGCCTTTTGAGAAGAAAGTATCTTGTGAAGCCACTACTAGAAATTTTTTTCTGCAATGTGAGAATATGATCCCTGTCACCTTTTGGGAAAGAAAGCAATGCTGAGCAATACTATCTGGCATCCCATGGCAGGGCATCCCCAGGCAATTTTTATAAGAGTTCTCCACTGAGGAGAGTTCAGAAACAATGATTCCTCCAGAATCATATAAAATTAACAGAATTAATCCTATAGCTGCAGTCATTCTGGGAAGGACTAGAACTGATGGAGGACTTCAGGCATGCATATACTAAGTTACAAACTGAAGCGTCTGCATGAACAGTAATGCACCTGCAACTCAGCAATGAAATTATACAGCTGTTAGAGTATCAAACACTAAAATAGGGAGGCAAGGGACTTGTAGTAGAGTGTGTTATTCTCGGGATTTTATTTGGGGTCTTTTTCCTGGTAAGAAAGTCACATTCCTTAAAAAGAAAAATTACTGCTGCCTTTGCTCAGTTATTTTGACAGTTCTCACAATTTCTCTCAGTCATATGTGTTCAAATGTTTACACTTCAAAAGTTTGTATACAGTGACTGTCAAAGTGAGATATATGGCAGTCGTAAGAGAAACCTGTAATTTCTCAAATCCCCATGTTGCTCCAGTACCACTGCGTACTGGGGAGGTACATGCAATGAGGAAAATAAAAATCCAGACATCCTTCCACAATTTCACTGTTGTCACTTAAGCACTCTTAAGATCAATGTCAGTCCAAAGCAAAAATCTCACTGCCCTATCAGTGACATTTAACATCATCCCATTAAATAAAATTCACAAACAGAAAACAGTATCATTAGAGTGTAACCTTTCCCTAAGCTGCTCTGATTTAATCTCTAAAAAGCAATCATTGATTAGTCACTAGAAATTTTATCAGAAGCACATATTATAATACAATTTAATTGACATTTTACAGTGGGATTACCTTAACAGACAAGGCACAATTCCTTAACATCAACTGAACAGTCATGCAAGGTAGCATTTTTCTGTAAATTTTTGCCTTTAAGGGCATCCAAATGGCTTAAACAAGTTAGGGGGTGGCACATGTGAATTATTATAATAAAAACTGTTTTCCTTAAAAATAACAACTTCAAAAAAAAAAAAAAAATCAAACCACACACAGCATGTGTGCTAACACACAACCTCTACAGGAAGTTGTTTAATTTTTCCTAAAAGTGTTATTGAGCACTTTTTGAAGATTATTTTCGTATTATCTGTCCGGTTTTATAGTTATCAATCTGATTTTATAGGCATGCTCTTAGAGAGAAAAAGCGCCCTGCCAAACTGACTTCTTTTTCCAAGAGAGATTTTACTTACGCAACTCTTAGGGTCTCTAGTCGCCAAAGGGAACGAGCATGAATTGACACAGCACCACCTTCATAGTGGACAGTTCTGAAAACCAAGCAAAGGCACAGACTAAATGCTCAGCTACATTTGAGCATTATGAACATTGTTCATAATGTTTATTTGTTCACTTAACTACATCTCTCATTTTAAGACTGACAAAACAATTACTGTAACTGTCAGACTCAAAGGTTATCTTATTCAAAACCAATCCTTACCAATTAAACCTTCGGACATAGTTACTCAAACTAATTTTGTTTTCATTGTCTTTAGCATCCATTATTGTGATATTCATAACAATGAGATTTATAAAGCATTTGCTTTGACATCTTTCCTAGTGTTTTAAGGGTAGAGAACCCAGGGGAGGGAAAAAAGAAAAAAAAAAAATCAAAAACCAAAACGTAATAACCTGATAATTACAATATTTCTAGGTTCTAACAAAAAACAAATCTCAAACGATGACAAAGATTTCTGGTCACTGCATACATCTCACAGGAAAGGTAGTGTTTTCTCAGGACATCTACTATTAAAATAACCATGAAACTTAGCACATTGAATTACCAAAGAGTCACGTATTTGGCATCATATTTTATTACCGTAGTACCAGAAGTTTCACAACCACCCAGATACAGTCTTCACACAGCTCAGTTGTTAACAGCTTCTTATTTCCAAATTTTAATATATAGTGACCCCTCTAATTCCTGCATATGCCCAGAAATCTGAGTGCTTCTGCAAAACAGTAAATTGAGCCTAAAAAAGGTTGTTTGTTTTTTTTTTTCCCCTCTGTTATTCTAAGCACATATAAGTGATATATATTGGATCCACAAACTGGTTTAGATTTTACAGTCACCAAAAGCCCCAAGTTAGGTAACCTGGATTCTCTTCAAAGCAAGGACTGAGCAATGTGGTGAGTATTAAGCACTGCCACTCTAGATTTAGGCAGCCGTTCTTTGGACTGCTTCCTGCCTGCACATTCATTTCTGTCCTAAGTCTCTGGCAGAATTTAAAACCCTAGGCCTTTCCTTTGGGAAAATGAATAAAGGAGCCACTTATGCAAAGGAGTGCTGTCATTATACTTATCAGCTCAAGCATGTCAGGGAACACTGCCAAAGAATGGCCTAGTTTTATGGATCCTGGAAGAGCTTATGAATTGAGTAAACATTGTGATCTTCAGCCAAGATCAGGCACTGCCAAAAATAGCCAGAGGCATAACTTTAGTTAATACTGAAGTTGTAGGCATTTCCCATTGTTAGTTAGATGCAATTTTTTTGAGGACCACAATTTTGGGATCAGGTACCTAGTACTTACCAGGCTTTAGCTTCCAAAGTCCTTTTGTGGATATAATACAGGGGGACTGAATGCTTAGCACAGAGAAAAACCCAGCATTGGAAGAGATGGTTCAAAACCAAAAGGAAGTGAGTCGGAATATACGTCTCAGTACTGTTTACAATACATGAAAATACATATGTGCTAAAATTAATCTTGGAATATACTAAAAAGTATTATGGACATAAACACTCCCAGACACTGCAGATGAATGAAGACCAATTATACAGGGGAAAAATTAGTCAAAATACAAAATAAATATTCCTCACTACAGTTACAGAACCACTCACACTGAATATTATTCTTTATATCCATGTATAAATAGAAATGCTGGCACATGCTCCATGTACCAAAAAAAGTTACAGGTGCATATAAAATACGTATGAAATCCTCCCCTTGACCTTGTATCCAGAATCTTCTCTACATATTTTCTTAGTCATTTGTTGCAGTGGTTGTGGTGCTAGGAGCAGCTGACAGGTATTAGTAAGTTTCTCATCTTTCTCTCACAGAAGGGAATGAAATTCAAAGTCAATCTTATTTTTTATTGAAATTGACCTCCATTAGTACAGTAAAGTGGAGATGCCAAACAATCTTGCATTCAGCTGCTCTCTGTCCAGACACTCTTTCTTCTCTTCAGGCATT